TAATTAACATTGCTGTACGTTATATATGAAAGTTGTTAAGTTCTCATCACAAAATTTTTTTTATTTCTTTAATTTTGTAACTGTATGAGATGATAGATGTTCACTAAACTTATTGTGATAATTACTTCATGATATATGTAAATCAAATCATTATGCTGCACACCTTAAACTTATACAGTGCTGTTATGTTGATTATATCTCATTAAAACTGGAAGAAAAATAAATAAATAAAATCAATTAGGGGGGGCTTCCCTGGTGGCGCAGTGCTTGAGAGTCCGCCTGCCGATGCAGGAGACGCGGGTTCGTGCCCCGTTTCGGGAAGATCCCACATGCCGCGGAGCGGCTGGGCCCGTGAGCCATGGCCGCTGAGCCTGCGCGTCCGGAGCCTGTGCTCCGCAAATGGGAGAGGCCACAACAGTGAGAGGCCCGCATAACGCAAGGGAAAAAAAAAAAAAAAAAAAAAAATCAATTAGGGGAATTAAAAATTTTCAGTAGAAGGGTTGGAAAATAGAAATTAAAGAAATCTCCCAGAAAGTAGAGCCAGAAAATGAAGGAGATGAGGAAAAAGGAAAGAAAAAAAAATTTGTTTTTAATTATAGGATTAGTCCATGGGATTCAACATCTGAATAACAACAAAAGTTCCAGAAAGAGATCACAGAGATAATGGAGGGAGAAAATCAACCAAAAAATAAAAAATAAAAATTTTAAATGTTTCCATAACTGAAGAACATGAGTTTCCAAATTGCAAAGACCCACTGAGAAAACACTAAGACATTTCCATGGAAGATTTCAGAATGCTAGGATAAAGAGATGATCCTAAAAGCTGTGGTTGGGGAAAGAGGGAAGGAAAATAAAAATAAGCTTCATACATAGGATTCAGAATAAGAAAAATTTCAGGTTTCTGAACAGCAATACAGCAAACTTTCAGTTTCTGAAGCTTGAAGACAATGGAGAAATGCCTTCAAAATTCTTAGGGTAAATTATTTCCAATCTAATATTTGATACCCATCCACACTGTCAATTAAGTACAAGAGTAGAACAGACATTTTCAGACTTGTAAGGTTCCAACAAATTTACCTCCCAGGCATCCTTTCTCAAGAAGCTCCATCAAAATAAACTGAGAAAGGTGAGTACATAGGTTCTGGGAAACAGGCTGTCAAGAGAGGGGCAAAGGTCCCTAAGATGGATGTGAAAGGAGACTCCAACAGTGCAGCCTAAAGATCAGACTATGTGCTGGAGCAGGTCTAAGGGCTCCGTGAGAAAGTTCTTCAAAATGAAGTAGATCAGGCTTCCCTGGTGGCGCAGTGGTTGAGAGTCCGCCTGCCGATGCAGGGGACACGGGCTCGTGCCCCGGTCTGGGAAGATCCCGCATGCCGCGGAGCGGCTGGGCCCGTGAGCCATGGCCGCTGAGCCTGTGCTCCACAATGGGAGAGGCCACAACAGTGAGAGGCCCGCGTACCGCAAAAAAAAAAAAAAAAGAAATAGATCAAATTCCTTACGTGTTTGTATATTCTTAAGAAGAGATTAACATAACTAAGGGAGAATTGGGGGATAAATTAGAGTACACAGAAAACTAAGCGAATGAATATAGGAGACAAGGCAAGTATTAATTTCAGGAAAAACAAAAATGATGCAAGAAAGAAAGGCTTCCCTGGTGGCGCAGTGGTTGAGAATCTGCCTGCCAATGCAGCGGACACGGGTTCGAGCTCTGGTCTGGGAAGATCCCACATGCCGCGGAGCAACTAGGCACGTGTGTCACAATTACTGAGGCTGCGCGTCTGAAGCCTGTGCTTTGCAACAAGAGAGGCCGCGATAGTGAGAGGCCGGCGCACCGCGATGAAGAGTGGCCCCCGCTTGCCGCAACTAGAGAAAGCCCTCGCACAGAAACGAAGACCCAACGCAGCCAAAAATAAATAAATTAATTAATTAATTAAAAAAGAAAGAAAGAAAAACACCTATAACAATCCTCATGGCTCAACTGTGAAGAGCATTTGCATAATCATAACATGTAAACACGAAACACAGATCCATCCAGAGTTATGATATAATATCGGAAGGATGGGAGGATGGGAAGTAGGGATGGGGTGAAAGAGGGGTTGGAAAAGAGGGTTAGCAATGGGAGGTCAATACTAGTGCTCGAAACAGAAACATCAAGAAGTAGCAATGTCTGGACTTCCCTGGTGGCATAGTGGTTAAGAATCCGCCTGCCAATGCTAGGGGACACGGGTTCGAACCCTGGTCCGGGAAGATCCCATATCCTCAGAGCAACTAAGTCCGTGTGCCACAACTACTGAAGCCCACGTGCCTAGAGCCCGTGCTCTGCAATAAGAGAAGCCACTGCGATGAGAAGCCTGCACACCGCAACGAAGAGTAGCTTCCATTCACCACAACTAGAGAAAGCCCGTGTGCAGCAACGAAGACCCAATGCGGCCAAAAAAAAAAAAGTAGCAATATCTGTATGCCATTTTGAATTTAAAATATGAAGGTGAATACAACCCCCCCCCATAACAATACAATTTAAAAACTCAACTGAACGTGATTGACTCTGAAGAGTCAGGGGAATTGGGAGACTACTGTTTTCTTATATAGGTCTTGTAGAGATATTTGACACTTTAAATAGTATACTGTATATCTATGATTAAAAAAAAAATAACCCCATGGAAGGGGGTAGTTACAGAAGGAGGCTGGGAGATCAGTTAGGAGGTTATAGCAATTTTCAAAGAGAGGTGATAGTGGAAGTGGGGTTAGGGATGTGGACAGATTTGAGAGATATTTTTCTCTATTCTTTCTTTAAAAATCCTTCCCCCTAAATGCCCTCCCCTCTGTTGTCCCTGGAATGGCCAGAACCCAGGTGATTTTCACTCCATACTAGTCAGCCCCAGCACTTAATAGGTTAATGAAGTGATGAGTGGGTGGGATGAGAGGTTAATGAAATGATGAGTGGGTGGGAGACCATGGGGTGGCTGCAGAATGGATTGATGCCGGGGTGCAAAGACACCCTATGAAAACAGGTAAGATCTGGGTCAGGGTGAGCGAATAACAAAAAAACAAGTGTAAACTCCGAAAAGCAAAGACAAAACAGGACGGGGGCAAGATACATTTAGGAATATTAAGTTTCCTAGTTCATACTCTTATTTATTTATTTATTTATTTTTGGCTGTGTTGGGTCTTCATTTCTGTGCGAGGGCTGTCTCTAGTTGCGGTGAGACGCGCATAGTCGCTCTGCGGTATGTGGGATCTTCCCAGACCGGGGCTCGAACCCATGTCCCCTGAATTGGCAGGCAGATTCTTAACCACTGCGCCACCAGGGAAGCCCCCCCCCCCTAGTTTGTCCTCTTTTCTTCTGCATTAGCATTTAAAGTTTTATTTATTCATTTTTCTGAAGTTCTACATGGGCGAGGCACAAAATTCAGAAGATCCAAAGTGGTATGGGGAAAAGTCCCCTTCCTTCCGTTACCTGGACACCCAGTTCCTCTCCCTGGAAGCAACCACTCTCTGCTTGTTTGTGTGTCCTTCCAGAAATAATTCATTCTGAGTTAAGTTTAAAAAGTGCCATCAAAAGATAATTTGTTCATGTTTAAAAGATATTCATCCCTGCCAGATTAGATGAGCCAAGGGCATGAAACTGGATTCTTCTGGCTCCCATCTGCGGAAGGGGCTGACAAACTTCATTATTTCTCAATCAAGTTTGTCCTAAAGGCCCATCTGTTGTAAACTCATTATAAGGGCCCAAAATTGGCACCACTCTGGAAGAATTTGGGCCTTTGAAGTGTTGTTTGGCTGAATTGTATTTTTCTTTTAATTAATTAATTAATTTTATTTTTGCTGTGTTGGGTCTTCGTTTCTGTGCGAGGGCTTTCTCTAGTTGCGGCGAACGGGGGCCACTCTTCATCGCGGTGCGCGGGCCTCTCACTGTTGCGGCCTCTCTTGTTGTGGAGCACAGGCTCCAGATGCACAGGCTCAGTAGTTGTGGCTCACAGGCCCAGTTGCTCTGCGGCATGTGGGATCCTCCCAGACCAGGGCTCAAACCTGTGTCCCCTGCATTAGCAGGCAGATTCTCAACCACTGCGCCACCAGGGAAGCCCTGAATTGTATTTTTTTTTAATTTTTAATTTTAAGATGGATCTTCAACTCTCTAGACTCCATTGATCCTGTTTTTTACAATTTACGCATTTTTGTTCCCTTCTTGTCCACTTTCAGTGTCTAAATTATGACCATTTAACCAATGGTTCCTCCACAGAAGGAATAATATGTCACCACTGAAAGTGATGATGTGTTTAATAACTTAGGCAGATGTTTCTGATTTATTGTTAAATAAAAAAACAGGTTGCAAAAGAGTTGATCCCATAAATCCCCACACACTTAACTAATTATATGTATATATGTACATTGAAAAAATCTAAAGAATCAATACCAAAGGGTTAAGAGTAGAGATGTAAGTAAGGCTATGGATTTTATTTTTATATGTCCCTTCAAACTTCTCTACAACAAACCTGCATTACTTGTATAATAAAATATTATGAAAGTAGGAAATGAACCTGTTTCCCTTCTTGTCTCCATGCGTCCTAAAGGTTTGTTTTGGTTCTGCTGAACTGAAAATAAAGGCTTTGTGACTTTTGAAAAAGAAAAAGCACTCTCTAGCTGAGCGGATTTTTTAAAAAGTTGGGGCCAGTGGTCCTTCCCAGTGTCCCTAAAATGCCGCCACCAGGTGGCAGCCTGCTCCATCTGTTGAGTCGGTGGGCCTGCCTCAGTCTCGGATTCCACACAGCCCAGTCCAGGCACTGGAGGCCTTTGTCTGGGTCCCAAACTTGACCAACAAGCCTGATATATATGCTAGAGGCCAGAGTCAATACTCTGGTCCATGGTGGGTGAAAGTCATCTTAGGCCCACTTTTATCCCCAGGAGCAACATCCACTGACCAGAAAACACTGAGGAAGGGTCGTAATAGTTGAAGCTTGTCACATCCTCAATTCCTCCACCCAACACCACATCAACACATGGGAATTCTCATTTATTTTTCACCCTTAACAAGGAGGTGGGAAGCCTTGCCTCTTCCTCACCTCTGTTCTTTCCATCTGGGAATATGCACTTCCAACCCTCCTTCCCTTCCTTCAGGGAGGCCTTGGTCAGTGGAGACAGTCTCTGAGGACTGCTTGAGCTGGTGGGGATGAAGAAGCTGAAATAGAGATCCCCAAGGGATGGCATCACTTTCCTGCCAACTCCCTCATCGCCTCTCCTTCAAAGCGAAAGCAGTGCCAACCTTCAGCTTCCGTCAGATCTTGGGCTCCTAGGGCCTTATACAAGTCCATAGCCCCCTTGTTCCAGTCTAGGACTGCCAGGCGGAGCTGGGAGCAGCCCTTATCCAGGGCCACCTGTGGGAGAAGACACCACTCACTTTCCTGGGTCAAAAAGGAAAAGACTTTCTCGCCCTCCATTCAACCCAGGTGCCTCCCATACAGCTTTACTTTGCCAGGGCCCAGCCTGTAGCCCCATCCCTCTCCTCACCTCAGCCACTTTTTTGATTATTTTGGAGCCAATCCCCTGACCTGATGTGGGGAGAAAAAGGCAAAAAGAGGGATTGTCTGAGTTGAAGGGGATCAGAAAAGAGCATAGGCTAGGATTAAGAGGCAAGGGATGGTGGTCCAGTCTATGGGTTGCTTTTCTCCCATCCCGGCCTCTGCCCAGTACCCCGATACTCTGGCTTCACGTAGATGTCTTCCAGATAAATGTTTCGTCCCTTCCATGTGCTGTAGATGAAGCAATATAGCCCATAGCCCACCACACAGGGCCCTGAGAGAGAAAAAAAGAAGGGTCAGGCCGCTGGGCACCCGGGGGAGAGACCTGTGAGGCTGACTGGAGAGGGCACCTCTGAGATCAGGCTGCTCTTACCCTGTGGCTCCCCGGGGGCAGGAAGAATCTCTGCTACCAAACAGTGATAGAAAGGATTCTCTCCAAAGCCATCTGCTCTCAGGGCTGCAGAGATCGGAGTTGTGACAAAGAGATAGAGAAAGAAGGCCTGGGTGTGTGCCCAGTCTGGAGTTACTGCCTGGGGAACCCATCCGTCACTTCCACCCCAGCCTCCGTCAGGACTCAGGTGTTGGGCCCGTACCTTCTTCACTGATCTTCACCTGGTCTGAGAGTTTCTCGTACTCAGCGAGTTCCTACAGCGTGCGGACAGAGGCTAGATTAAGGCAGGAGGGCCTCACTGCTCCCTAAGCAGGAGCCCTGGGCGCGCTCCTCCCTCTGCTCCCACCTCCTCCTTCCCGTCCCCACTCCAGCAGCGCAGCTCTGACCCCCTCTGGGACCCCGGTTTCCGGCCCGCAGCCCTCACCCGAATCAGCCTCAGGATATTTCCACAGTCTCCCTCCTTGGCTTCTCGGATCAGCACGGAAGCCATCCCGATCTCCACCGTCTGGAACCGAAGTCCAGGATCCCCACTTCCGTTCTGCAGGACCGGGCGAAGAGCAACGGGGACCCTTTAAGGGGCCTCCAAATTCGGATCCCGGAAAGCCGGGGGAGTGGTGGGGAGCGAGGTGGTGGGGGCGCCGCGGGCTGGGAAGCAGAAGCCCGATTCCAGCTGCCGCGGGGCGGAGAGAGTGGTGGGACTAGAGGTCCGCACGTCCTGGTAGCCCCTAATTTCGGGCCCCTACAGCGCGCACCTGCCAGCCAATCAGCTTGCAGAACAGGCATGTCCCCGCCCCCCGCGCACCACCCCGCCCCCCCCAGCTCTGCCCCTATGGCCGGGTCTCTTGACCGCACTCCCCGCAGGGGTCAAGACTGGACTGCCGAGGCTTCCTCGTTGTTGTTATCTGGGTGTTCCAGCCTCCGTTGGAGAAACTCCACGGCTCAAAAGATACCGCCTTCTTTAACTGAAGTGTGCAGTGATACCTGCTCTACCCTTCACCCCAATTCACCCATTCCAGCCCATCCAGACTCGGGGTGAGCCCCAAGACCTCCAGCTCTTGCCTACTGGCTCAAAGTGTTACTGCTCTTGGGGGCATTTGTATTTTAAGATGGGTCAGGGAGAGGGTGATGAATTTCTACTGGTAAATGGTTAGGCCTTGTAGTCGACGGGTAAGAGAAGATAATGGCAGGGGGAGGGACCAGGACTCAGTATCCACTGAATCACACTCAGAGACAATACCTCCTTATGCAGCAAGCCTCAGAGGCCTGGGAAAATACTAAGGGAGGAGCTCAGAGCAGATACCAGGCACGGTGCCTGTATCATCTCGATTCATCCTCATTCACAGTAACTCCAGAAAGTAAGTATTTTTCACATTTTGCAGACAAGGACACTAAAGCGCACAGGTGGGGTGACTTGCCCACAGTCACCCAGCTAGTATTTGGGATTCTATGTCTCAGCTCTAGGCCTTATGGAGGATGCTACTTGGGAATCCGGGCATGTCTGTTTCTAGATCTCATGTTTGTCCTCAAGGCAGCCTCCGCAGGTGGGCAGAAGGCTTGGAGGACCCAGGTCAGGCTCTAGAAGGAGAGGGGAAGTGAGGTGTCCTCTCCCAGCTCAGAAACTTTCTCAGCAGTTGGGGGAGGGTAGTGGAGGAACTCTGTTCCTTACCCCATTTGTCCTCAGAGGGCCCATAGGGTCAGTGGCCCTGTCTCCTGCCCCCCTTCTTCCCCCGGGGCAACCTTTAACCCTCCACCAACCATGTGCGACGCTGCCTGTCCCCACGCATTCTCCTCAGAGCTGTCTGAGGCACAGAGAGGACCGTGGCTGATTATGGAGAGCAGAGGTCCACCGGCCACATGGCATGGGCTACCGCTGCTGCTGCTACTGCTGCCTCCCAGCCATGAAGGACGGGCCGTGAGACATACTCTCCCCAGACAGGTGCAGGAGCAGGACAGGGCGCTAAGCCCTGTGTGTGTGTTTAAGTGAGCTACACTTTAGCTCTGTGCTCTTCCTTTCTATCCTCCTTTGGCCTTGTAGCAGTGCTTCTCCCTCCTGTCTGTCTCTGGCACGTCTTATTTCAGCTTGTTTATTTTTCTCTCTGGCAGAGGACTCAGGACCGGCCTGCTCTGCACCTCAGCAATGGCCCTGGACAAGAACCTGTAACCATCATGACCTTTAACCTCACCAAGATCATAAAGTATGGGGTTGACCTAATTCTTTGACCTAGTCCCCTGACCTCACCCTCTCTCCATCAGCTCCTCTCTCTCTCTCTTTTTTTTTTTTTTGCTTTATTTAATTCAAGTATAGTTGATTTACAATGTTGTGTTAGTTTCTGGGGTAAGCAAAGTGATTGAGTTTTATATATATATATATATATATATATATATATGTATTTATGATACATGTTATATATATATATTCTTTTTCAGGTTCTTTTGCATTATGGTTTATCACAAGATATTGAATATAGTTTCCTGTGCTATACAGTAGGACCTTGTTGCTTATTTTCTTTTCCAAAAATATTCTTTATTGAGGTCATTGCTCCTAAAACAGAAGCAAAAAGCAGAGATCAAACTTCGTAGTAAGATGTGATTAAAAAAAAAAAGATGGTAAAATATAAGCTGGTACATTTCAAGGAATAAGCAACAGAAGTTGCTTATCTATTTTATATATAGTAGTTTGCATCTGTTAATCCAAACTCCCAATGTATCCCTCCCCACCTTCCCCTTTGGTAGCCATGAGTTTGTTTTTTATGTCTGTGAGTCTCTCTGTTTTGCAAATAAGTTCATTTGTATCAGTTTTTAAATTCCACTTGTAAGTGATAGCATATGGTATTTTGTCTTTGTCTGATTTACTTCACTTAGTATGATAATCTCTAGGTCCATCCATGTTGCTGCAAATGGCATTGTTTCATTCTTAAATATTTATTTATTTATTTGGCTGTGCCGGGTCTTATTTGCAGCATGTGGGATCTTCGTTGCGGCATTCAGGATCTTTAGTTGCCGCATGTGGGATCTAGTTCCCTGACCAGGGATGGAACCCAGGCCCCCTGCGCTGGGAGCTCGGAGTCTTAACCACTGGACCACCAAGGAAGTCCTTGTTTCATTCTTTTTCATGGCGGAGTAATATCCCATTGCATATATGTACCACATCTTCTTTATCTGTTCACCTATCGATGGACCTTTAGTTTGCTTCCATGTCTTAGCTATTATGAACAGTGCACCAGCCCTGCTCTTTTCCCTGTCTCCCTGTCCTTCTCTCTCCCTGAACTCCACTTCCCTCAACCTCACATCTATGCTCAAAGAGCACACCCCATACCCAATCTTTCCTTCTGTGTCCTTCCAGAACCTCCTCCTCCTCTGAGTTTCGGGCCTGGGATCCAGAGGGAGTGATTTTTTATGGTGATACCAACCTGGAGGATGACTGGTTTGTGCTGGGACTTCGGGATGGCAGCCCTGAGATCCAGCTTCATAATCACTGGGCCCAACTTACAGTGGGTGTTGGACCCCAGCTGGACGATGGGAGGTGGCACCAGGTAAGCCAGATCTGGTCCTGAGGGAGGGGTGTCTTGAGCTGGTGTGAGGAAGGAATGGAACCAAGTTATTGGGCATCCCTTTACCATTGTCATCTCATTGAATCCACAGAAAAGCCCCATGAAATTGCTTTTTTTTTTTTTTGGCCACACCTCTTGGCATGCGGGATCTTAGTTCCCTGATCAGGGATCAAACCCGTGCCCCCCGCAGTGGAAGCACAGAGTCTTTTTTTTTTTTTTTTTAAATATAATTTTATTTAATTTTTTGGCTGCACTGGGTCTTTGTTGCGGTGTGCGGGCTTCTCATTGCGGTGGCTTCTCTCGTTACGGAGCATGGGCTCTAGGCATGTGGGCTTCAGTAGTTGTGGCACGCGGGCTCAGTAGTTGTGGCACACAAGCTTAGTTTCTCCAAGACATGTGGGATCTTCCCGGACCAGGGATCGAACCCGTGTCCTCTGCATTGGCAGGCGGATTCTGAACCACTGCACCACCAGGGAAGTCCCGGAATTGCAGAGTCTTAACCACTAGACCACCAGGGAAGTCCCAGAAGTTGCTATTCTTGTCCCCATTTTTTCAGAAGGGAGTTCTGAGGCTTTGTTAGTATGTAAGTGACAAGTCCAGAGTGAGCTGCGGATGCCAGCTGACTCTTCAAGTACATGTTCTTTCTGCCATAGTAGACTGCCTCTGGTAGGTTCAAGTCTTTTTTCGTAGATGGTTGCTCAGCAGTTAGTTGTGATTTTGGTGTCTTCATGAGAGGAGGTGAGCTCAAGTCCTTCTACTCCGCCGTCTTCAGTATGGCATTTTCTAGACTGCCTCTGAAGAAAGTGGTGGAGGCAGGCCCCAGGAACCTCTGATTCTTCTCTTTTTCTTCTTGCAGATGGAAGTGAAGATCCATGCGGCTTCTGTGATGCTAGGGCTGGATGGGGAGGAGGTGCTGCATCTGAGACAGGTCTCTGGGCCACTGGCGAACAAACCCCAGCCCATCATGAGGATTGTTCTGGGGGCGCTGCTCTTCCCTGCCTCCAAACTCTGGTTGTGGGTAGCTGCATCACAGAGGCAGGAACCATGACCAAAGTTCGTAAAGCATTGCTGACTGGGTGGCCGTGGGGGTCTAAGTCCACACTTCAAGGAGGGGGTATGGGGTGAGAGCTGCATGGGGGAGGCCAAATGCTTGCGTCTTGGAGGGGAATAAACAGGGTGGGAGTCTGGGACTGGCGCTCAGATATCCTGATTCCAGCATCCCCCGCATCTTCCCTTCCCCCCCACGGGCTCCAGCTGGTCCCTGCCCTGGATGGCTGCCTGCGCCAGGATGACTGGCTGGACCAGCAGGCCCAGACCTCAGCATCTGTCCCCACTAGTCTCAGAAGCTGTGCTGTAGAGTCTCAACCTGGGATATTCTTCCCGCCAGGGACTGGTGCAGAATTCAGTCTCCAAGGTAAAGGTTATTTACCCCTCCATGGCCAGCTCTGTGTCCATTTCCCTCCAGCACTAGCCCCTCCCCTCCATGAATCCCCAGCCTTCAGACCTCAGGAGGGTCATTTCTCCCCCCAGACATTCCCTGGCCTCATGTAGAGCCCTGGGCCTTCTCCTTGGACCTGGGACTCCAGCTAGCAGCAGGCTCAGGCCACCTCCTTGCCCTTGGGACCCCAGAAAACGCTTTCTGGCTCAGCCTCCACCTCCAAGATCAAGTAAGAGGGGGATGCTGCCTGTATTCAGTGGAGCCTTGGAGCAGTGGGAGAAAAGGGGACTCTAAAATGTCAATATTACAAAAAAATAAAGAAATAAAAATAAAATAAAATGTCAATATTACGATAGTTTAAGGGTCGGGGTGGGCGGGCAGAGACACATATCAAAGCTGCCCACAGCAAACTGTGACTTTTAGTTAGATTAGATATTTACCTGGGGAGGGTGTGGTTTTATAGAAGGCCAAGCCAGGAGAGTTAAGGCAGGATGGAGGTGGTGGAATGGCCAGTAGATGGACTGCATGGCTAAGAGACGGAATTAAGGCAGCCAGGGGTGGGGCCACACGGAGCAGATGCGGTTCATTCTTTCCTCCCCCGCTTATGTCCCTCCCCACACACTCTGCAGAAAGTGATGCTGTCTTCTGTGTCAGGGCCAGGGCTGGATCTGCCCCTCATCTTGGGGATCACCCTTCAGCTGAAGCTGACTGTGTCCAGGGTGGTTTTGAGCCAGGGGACAAAGAAGGAG